TACAAGATAATACATGACCTTGAGCATGGGCTTAAATTTGAGGACAGGTTTCAGTGGCACCTGTCATCCAGTCTTCTTGGTAACTCGATGAAGTTACGGACAACAATGTGCAGGCTGAATCTTCGTCCTGAATTTTTAACACAAAGGATAGTGAAGAAATGGAATGATCTACCTCAACCAGTCGTGGAGGCGACGTCCCTGCAACTTTTCAAGAAACGCCATGATGATTATTGGTATCCCCTGTTTTTCCTCAACGGTCTGAACCTGAGCTAAATACCCCGCGATCCCCGGCAATTTTTTCTTTGAAACAATGCTACTAAAATGAATTAAGTACCGTTTTAATAGCGACGGTTTTCATCGTTCGTGAACAGTTGTATCTAACGGGCTGACAATTAGGGTTTTCAAAGGCTTTGCCTATTAGCCTTACCAAATAAACTGGAATCTAAAATCATTTTCTCGAGGTACACAAACACTTGTCAAATTGGAGTGCTGCTGTTTCGTATTGGAGATACTAATTGTTGATACAGGCGAAGATGCGAGTCCCAGGAACTAGTTGATCAGAAGAAGAAGCGATCGCTGGAACAATGGCTTTATTCGCCTGACGTTTCGAATTCTCTCTTGAATCCATCATCAGAGACAGTTGCAGAAAAGGGTGGCTAGTGTACAGGAAGTCGCAGTATTTATAGGATGCGGTCGCTATGCTACCGCATACCTACAGCAATTAACAGTGCTCCCTTCATCAAGGATTGTTGCCCGCTGGTGCGCTAATTACTTGATGGCCGGCATGCAAGTTGTTAATTGCTGACATTTTATCACCCGTGTTGGATGCTGGCGTGATGATTGCTCGGCCATCTGGCTCACGTGCTTGCGCGCTCCTCGAGCGGTCAATGGCTTTGGCCAGTCTATGCCTCAGGACAGAATATGGAGTGGGGATGTCGTTGCACTTGTTGATAGACTGAGGTCCCGTGAACCATGACTCAAGCAACTCGCGGCTCACGCGATTATCCCCTCTCGCGAGAATTTCGGCCTCATCGAACTTGAATGTGTGGCTGGGTCTCGTCGAATGGGCCGCGACCTGAGAGTTGGCGTCATTTCTCCGTACAGCTGTCACGTGTTCGGCGATTCGCGTCCGGAACAGTCTTCTAGATTCTCCGACGTAGTTGCTTTGTCCGCAACTGCACCAGATCCGGTAAACGACTCCAGACGTTTCTTGCCGTGGCAGTGGGTCTTTTGGTCTCATCACTTGACGCTTCATGGTGGCATCCGGTCTGCGCGCAACTCCAACCCCAAGTGGTGCAAGAAGGCGGCTAACGGCCTCGGAGACGTTCTTGATGTACGGGATCGCTCGCCAGAATTTGGGGTCGGCGCGATTTTGTCGCTCGTCTCGTTTGCGCGGGCACCGGTTGACGAAGTTGCGCGGGTAACCATTTTCTCGGAAAACCCGTCGAAGATATTAGGATTCGGCAACTTTGTCTTCCGGTTCACTGCAGTGCGTCTCAACACGCCGAAATAGCGTTCTTACGCAACTGCGTTTGTGGCTGATTGGGTGGTTACTGTTGAAATTCAGGATTTGCGTCGTGTTCGTTGCTTTTCTGAACACTTTGGTCTTTAGGCCACCACAATCTTTGCGACAGACGAGGACACAAAGGAATGCCAGCTGGTTATTCTCTTCCTCCTCCATCGTGAATTGTATGTCCGGGAAGACGCTGTTGAGACGTTCTTTGAACGTTAGCACCTGATCCCGTTTGATGACGACGAAGGTATCGTCCACATGCCCAGCCCAGAATTTCGGTCTGTGGTGTTGGAAGACCAGCGACTCCAACCGCTGTAGCACCGCCTCGGCGATGAATCCCGAAATCGGCGAGCCCATTGGTGTTCCCTTCACTTGCTCGTAGATTGTTCCGTCAAACGTGAAGTACGTCCTGAGACAGAAATTTAGGAGCTGAAGGACTTAGACATGTCCGAGACGATTCTCCGTTTCATCGTATTTGTTTCGTAGGAGTAGCTGGACGGTCTCGATTGCCAGATCCTGGGGGATAGAAGTAAAGAGGGACGTGACATCAAAAGATACCATGACCTCATTGGGCAAGAGACTTACTCCTTTAAGCTTCTCCAGGAATTGCGTTGACGAACAGACCGTGGTGTCCGAATCAGCGGTCAGAAATTTGAGGCGCCGAAACAGCCATCTTGCCAGTCCGTACGTTGGAGTGCCTTTGAGCGATACAATGGGCCGGAGAGGAGCACCCTCCTTGGCACCTTTGGGAGACCATAGAATCGGGCCAAAGCCGTTTCTTGGACTCTCGCCGTGCGTCGGTCCGTCGCTGTTATTGCACCCGAGTTCTCCAGTGCCAAAAGTGTTGCATTTATTTCGCGTGTCAGCGTTTTTATGGGGTTGGTTTCACATGGGACATAGAACTGGCGATCCTCCAATAGGTTTTTGGCCTTCTGAAGGTAGTCTGTTCTGTCCAGTACGACGGTGGAACGCCCCTTGTCCGCGGGCACAATGACGATGTCCTTGTCGGCCTTGAGTTCTCTTAGTGCATCGCGTTCGACCTTTGTGAGTGTTTCGCGCGGCTTGTGAGTCATAAGGAGGGACGAAACTTGGTGTCGGATAAGATTCTTCGTCTCCTCCGCCGCTTCCGTCTGATAAATGACCGATTCCACTGCTGCAATCATGTTGACAGGTTTGGCGTCAGCTGTGTTGAATGAGGCTGCGTGCCGTAAAACCTGTGCTTGCTCCTTCGTCAGTTCCTTTGACGACAGGTTGTGTAACAGTGTGCCGCTTCTGGATGACGTTGGATCAGGCAGTTTGTGGAATTTGTTCCCCAGTGCTGCATCGCGTGTCGCTCTCTGCTCGCGGGCTCGTTCAGCCACTTTCTGCTGAAGCAGATTTGTGCCGTTCTCGCCCATGAACTCACAGCATCTGGCCTTCTCTTGGTCACTTCTCTGACGGTATTTGCGTAGTCTCGCATGGCAATCTTGAAGGAGCACGCGGATCATACGTCTTCCGTGCTGAAATACTGCGCGTCTCGCTAGCTCCGTGTTTGCCGGAGGTTTGTATGAAACACACTTCGGCAACACGTTATCAAGACACCTGTGCAGAAACCGGATCTGCGCGTAAGTAGAGGCCTCTCGAAGGACGAAAGTTTCCCATCGTCGGGCCGATCGGAGCACGTCGCGCCCAAAAAAATTGCCGATACAAGCGAAGATGCGAGTTCCAGGAACTAGTTGATCAGAAGAAGAAGAAGAAGAAGCGATCGCTGGAACAATGGCTTTATTCGCCTGACGTTTCGGATTCTCTCTTGAATCCATCATCAGAGACAGTTGCAGAAAAGGGTGGCTAGTGTACAGGAAGTCGCAGTATTTATAGGATGCGGTCGCCATGCTACCGCATACCTACAGCAATTAACCGTGCTCCCTTCATCAAGGATTTTTGCTGGACTGGCCAAAGCAATTGACCACTCGGGGAGCGCGCAAACACGTGAGCCAGATGGCCGAGCAATCATCACGCCAGCATCCAACACGGGTGATAAAATGTCAGCAATTAACAACTTGCATGCCGGCCATCAAGTAATTAGTGCACCAGCGGGCAACAATCCTTGATGAAGGGAGCACTGTTAATTGCTGTAGGTATGCGGTAGTATGGCGACCGCATCCTATAAATATTGCGACTTCCTGTACACTAGCCACCCTTTTCTGCAACTGTCTCTGATGATGGATTCAAGAGAGAATTCGAAACGTCAGGCGAATAAAGCCATTGTTCCAGCGACCGCTTCTTCTTCTGATACCAATTGTATTTACTCCAAATTACGGTGACATTCTAGAACCGGTTTCTACCGAAAACGGACGCTTTGCGGCAGCTCAAGAAACTTCATCCTGACTTAAACCGTCTGCTGGGACCATCACGAAATTCGTTTTTTTCGTCAAGATGCAGTCCGTTCTGACTGGTATCCAGCTCCCCATCAGCACTGCCTTTGCAGTGTCCCTTCACCCACAGTAGATATCTCAGATGTTTCAGTTAATGTGGCAATCCATGGACATCTGACGGGTTCCATCCAATCTTTAACGTTTTTTCCTAAGAAGCTCTTGCCTATCATGTCCCTTTAGACAACACTGTCCGCACGAAACGTTCTCGCCACTTGCTTAGGATCGGCAAATCCACTGACCATGAGTCGCTCGCCCTTATCTTAGGTATTTCATCAGCAAATAATATTCCTCAGCGTTCCGCCACATAGGCCAAACATCAGTTTAGATCAAGGACCGATCGCTATGTTTGCGCAAAGTCAGTTTTCCCGATCCTGTAACACATATTTTTTTAACGGAAGAATATCTTTATTGCTGCCCATTACAAGCATGATATTCGTCCAATGTTTCAGTAGCTAGTGCCTGCGACTGGTTGTCCGTTTGAATGCGTTCGTGATCGGCGTGCCAGATATGACTCTCACGCGGATCCCCCAATGTCACAAGAGGTATCTTTAGAACAATGAATCGGGCCCCCGGGCAGAGAGCAGGATTCCGATCTTCAAGCCCAGGCCCACCATCTCTCCATTTGTGACAGCACAGAACTCTACGATGCCAGCATCTCCCCCACCACCCATTCATGAGTTACTTCCTTTGCCAAATCATCTTTTTTCCCGGAACAACTCTTCCCAACTGTGTAGAGTGGATCAGCAAACAATATAATAAAGTGAACTGTCTCCGACAGAATTGCTTCCTCCAGCCTGCACAGGGTTATCAAGAAATGGATACGGTTTTCATGGGCCGCCAGTTGAGCAAGGCCCATCGGCATACGAAGGTCAATCCCCGCATCATCTAGTCGGTAGCGCTGGGTATCTTCAAGCCCACGCGTGCGTGGTGGTTCCCCTACCTCTACCTAAGGACTGCTTTTCTGTCCCCAACTGAGGTGATCAGTTTGCGGTATACGGAAGCCGGTCTCTCACCACACCTGGGAGGGCAACCATAGCTGAGGGCTTTGCCGGTTGTTTGGCCGCTATTCTCAAAGTCCCTTTTATCGTTAAGACTGGAAGCGATCCTCACTCCAAATTCGCCTTCCTACCATCATCCCTACGCCTCCTGAATTGTGCCCAGAAATTGTCATAACCTAACAGGTGTTTGGGCGGATCTACTGTGTCACGAAACAACTCGTGAACTTGAGGGATCGCCTTTCTCTAGTCGTTCTTGGCGTCCAATTCCAGTCCCAACCCCTTCAGACATACCTTCCAACGCTCAAGGGGTTCTCACAACCAACACTGTGGTAGGGAAGGCGTTGCCAGCGTGTGCCGCTCTAAAGTGTCATTCACAGACTAGTCTCGCCACCCCCTGTTCCTGCTATTCAACATTTAACCATTCTTGGCCTTAATTCGGCCCTGTCTCCCACACATCAAAGGTCTTCCCACAAACCTTATCTAACTCAATTTCCATAACCAGTCTCCCTCATATTTCCTGAAGTAGACGTTTCAGCCCTTCCGCGACCGCTTTGTTTCCCATGCCTTTTTAGACAGATAATCACCAATCGGAGCTTCGCACAATCTATCTAAACGGCTGCACCCTGGTAGCGTACTCCGGGCTGCGAATGCTCATCGGGTCGCGCATTAGCACTGACGCGTGTGCGATGAATGCTACTTATGGAGAAAATAATGCAGACCTAATTACAGTTATGAGGCTGCCCCATAATTTGTGCTTCATTAATGTGTTCTCAAAATAAGGTTATAAACGCTGGCTGCGCATTCACATTCTTGACCGTTCGTCGGCTGTTTCCGAGGGCGGGTTATAAAATAAATTAAAAGGGTCGAACGAATAAATTTCTTGGTCCGGCGATAGGATCCCCTGCTTCCTATGCAGAAATCTAATTACACCGGTAGGGATAAGATGACGTAGTGCATTTGCCTGACGCCACTCTCCCCTGCTAATATTTCACCAAACACGTCTTCAGCCTCGTTTACTAAGTAAACATGATGAAGACGAGGGTCCCACCCAAAGCATTAAGATCATCTAATCCCTCATGTGAGGTTAAAACCACAGAAGCGCTTATCGAGCAACTAAGGATGGACAAAAATGTACTCAAAAGACAGGAAAGTCTTGACCCAATATGTGGATGACGTGTGTGTATTTATAAAACGGGCCCAAGCACTTATTAAAAAGTAGGTCAACTATATTGCTCGAGGCAGCTTAGTGACGAATTGGAGAGGAATCAAACTTAACCAGATGCTGCTTTTCGACTCACACACGTTTGTAGACCCGAAAAATCAGCGTGGGCGAATAAAATTAGCAAAGTACAAGTTATTGATTTCAGCAGATACTAAAATCCCCACAGAAACGAGAAATTCTTAGTCGTAGGTCGAAATATCCCAAGGCATTCGATATGTCAGTCGTCGCAGATGACTAGGTCCACCGCCGTCTCAGAGAGGCAGTAGTGACTTGCAAATTAGTTTTTCTAGGGCGAAGCATACTTTACAGCATCCGCAGCACCATCTAGTCGTCCACTATGTGCCAATGGCAAGACTGGTGTTGAGGCTGCAGTTCGCAAACCAAGCCTACGCGTGTCATAAGCATCCCGGCTCACAAGTTCATAGGAAGCAGGTTTCTGATCAAGGGGGTCTGGGGCATCACAAAGCGGGAGCCATTACATTTTTACCATCTGTGCTGAATTAATCCGAGGTACATCGCCAACTAGTAACCATCTAGTCCACAATAACTAGCATGTTATCACAACCAAAGGCGCCTTTACCACCATACAACAGGCGTGAAAACCCATGAAATATCAAGAGTTATAACGAGAAAATCCACATAGCGCGGAACCCGACCAAGCTTTAATCATGATATTTCACGAGTCAAACCGGGCCGTGCATCGACCCAGCCCCAGTGCCTTGGTGGTCAGTCCCGATCAGGTTGTCTGAAGATCAGATTCGGTGCAACGCCTGAAGAGACCGCTATGTGAAGCGTGCCACACACGCGATACGGCCATACTTAGGAGCCGTTAACGTCTCACACTTCCTAGGGGTCTGTTATCCAGTCGGCTGACAGCCCACTAAACCAAAACTTCTAGTGTGGCCTGATGGTGCAGTACTTAAGTGATTATGGTGAGGAATGGGCTGAATGGACGCAAACGTGTCTCAGTATCCGCCTCATTCTCTTCCAAACCCATGACTGGTAGCCGACTAGTAATGAGCTACATCGCAACCCCCATGCTGGGGTGAGCGCCAGTCTGGGGCCTGCAACACGCAAACTTGGGACGGCTGATCAAATCTTGTCACGAGATATTTCCATTCTCTTCGTCTACCGGAACAGCAGCGCAGCACCTTTCGGGGTCACCGAAGTTCCATAAAAGCAGCGTGAGGTCAACAGAGCAATTGCTCCGCTGTTCGTAATTTTGCCCTGCCATTGAGTGACAGTGGGTGTGACGTGTCGAGGCAGGTGCAACGAAGCCTCGATCACTATGACTCAGTTCAAGTTCAGGTCACCATTAGGTCATTTCGAAGTTAGCGAACATCGACTCATACGACAGACAAAGTGTCACAGTTACGGTGCCCCCCTGTTATTTGTTCATACCCCGGTAGATCGCCAGCAACTAAGTCGCTGAAAGCCAGTTTAAGTCCTCGGTGTCCAGCCACGCTCGTCTGTGTTATCTCCGCAAGAAGAAACAGGGTACCAGGTGTTGATGTTCCGAGTCTAGCTTCAGACTTGCGGTCAAAAATTCCTCAGTATTGACCGAGGTGTGGACACTACTCAGTGTGACTTTTGTTAAGTAAAATGGCACTGAATGATCGACTATAAGGAAGGCATAACTACAAAATTCCCGAGTTTCGGGAGAAGGTGCTTTAAGGGCTATTTCTCATTTCTGATCAATTTTAACGTATTTTTGCGTTGGGAACAAGGTGCTCGTTGTTCCACAATGTGCCCGGAACCCACAT